CACACACACACACACACAGTACTACTTAAATTTGCTGATTCATCTTTTTTAGGTTTCACCACACCATGAGTCGGACACTTTAATCCCAGCTGCTCTGGAAACAGACTGATGAAGTTAAACTGTTTGGATTTCTTCACCGTGGCCTCAGTGATTGGCGGCCGGACGATGACGAGCCGAGCTGCAGAGTCTCATGTTCGTGTGCAAACAAAGACCAGACGATCTTTGAAACACAAACATGAACCAAATGAACCGTCACTGAAAACAGGAAACCTCACCGGGACTTTTAGAGAATAACATTTCAAAGAGAGAGATGCAGACTACCCATAATGCAACAGGTTTGTCGATGCGCTTTGCAATAGTTTGTTCTGAAAGGTGAGGTACTAATAAAGTTATTATTATCGACTGTAAATAAAGATGGACGACATGACGGCTCCCAAAAGTGAAGCCAAAGCGTCTTGAACGCCCCCTGGTGTCTGGCTGCAGTATAGGTCATAAAACTGCCTCCTCCATGTTAGCAGATGGGACATGGGCCAAACAAATGTTTCTCAAAGATGGCTTCTGTCGTTTTAGGAAGTTTTTATCACACTGATGTTTGTTCTGTTTTAATTATTTGATGAAACGAGGTTAGACTTTCTGATTGACAGCTGAGGCTGATTCCTGATTGGTCAAACGTGTCAGACATCTCTGGTCTCTGTAGTTTTCTCGATTTTCAGCAGGAGACTCGTCGTAAATGTTCTTACCGGGGATGTCGGGCCGGCCTGGACGTGACCCACGACGGTCTGGGCATCGTGCTTCTTCTCTTGAAGGTAAAAAACAGGTCGTCTTTGCAGCAGTTCTCCATCTGAGCGTCACAGTCACTGTAGAGCTGCCTCTGTTCTATACAACATGTGTACACGTGTATTCGACTGAAGCGTTTCCCTCATATATACTGCAGGACACGCCTCCTGAACCTCATAACATCTCGTCTCATGCCCGTCCGTCTGTACAGTGTCTGTGTTTGTCCACAGTATGATGTGTAACAGTCGTACAGATGTTCTACTGACCCCTCGTCTTCCTCCTCCTGTTGCCCCCACATCTCTTATCTCACCGTCTGGTCAGTGATTGACAAACTCGTCTCAGAGGTTTTTTTTACTTTTACTGCACAATAAGTGTACATTCTGTGTCCTGTATACTTTGATAACCTCGCCCGCAGTATTATAAGTTCCCATCAGAGACATACAGCACAAGGGGGATCATGGTATGTCCCTTTAGCGCCCCCTGTGACCGACCAATGCAATTTAAAACCCAGAAAAAGAAAGTTCATAAAATAAAATTCAATCATTCGCACCTGATTGATGTTTAAACAATAAAACACACACATGATTTTAATGAACTTGGACCATGTGTTGTCTATACCAAAGTGCTTCATGATGAATAAAATAGTATTCATCTGTTGATTCATTGCATTAATAAAATAATACTGCAGTTTTTAAAGGCAGAAAGTACATGAACCCGAGTATATATAAATATATGTCACTATAGCGCCACCTGTGGTCGATCACTGCAACTTTAAAACCCCCAGAAAAGAGCAATTGATGCTTTAGCTCATTAAATGTCTCCAATTAAATCAGCTGCTGCACCTGACTGGTGTTTAAACAGTAAAACACACACTGCAGCGCCGCCACGTGGCCAGAGCAGCACACCACAGGATTAAATGATCGATCACTGAATCAGATCATTTCATCAAATCAACACGGACACAACGTGAGAACCTGTGATTCTCAAACTTTCACGAGAAGACTCGCATGTGAGGAGCTGAGGGTTTTTATATTGTGTCATGTTTTAATTGCAGGAGCAGAATAAATGTGTGTCACTCCGCCCGGAGGTGTGTGAGGACCGGGCCTGACCCTGCAGCGGCTCCGTGCTTCGTGTCACTGCGGCGGCCTGAGGATGAGCTGAATGCTGATGATCGTGGAGCTGGACCAAGGAGACGAGGAGAGGAGGAGATGAACCGTTTCCTCAGAGCTGTGGAGGATGGAGGTCTGCTGAGCGGCTGCAGGGAGCTGTCACCCAACCACACCTCCTCCTGCATCTCCTTCACCTCCTCCTCCTCCTCCTCCTCCTCAGCCGACAGACACGCGGCCCTGCCCTCGCTCCAGACCCGGGGACCTGGCGGCGGCGGGTCGGAGCCGAGGAGATCCGCGCTGAAACGCAGCCGAGCCGGCCGGGAGGGACCAGAGGACCCGGGGGTGGAGGATCAGCCCGCGGCCGTCGCGGTGCGCTGCTGCGGAGGAGGAGAGGCGAGTGTCGGGAAGCAGCAGCTGCGGCGTCGGGAGAGTCAAGGACGCGGCGTCGGCGGAGAAGGAGCCGGGATGATCTCAGCGGTGATGAGGGAGGCGGACAGCGGCGTCTGCTCCGACGTGACCGCGGCCTCCAGCTCTGCGACATGCGCCAAAGGCAAAGAGGAGCGGAAGGGGAAGAACGTGATCCGCGGCTGGAAGAGAGACCGGGACCGGGACAGCGGTCCTCCTGCCGCTGCCTCTGTCCGGCAGAGGAAGGAGAGAAGCGGGGATGGTGCGTCTCCTCCTCCTCCTCCTCCTCCCTCCGTCTTCCTCTCGTCGTCCGCCCTGCCCGAGCATCATCTGTGCCGCGACGGCCCCGGACTGTGCCGCTGCGACCTCAGGACCACCGCTGGAGACAACCACCACAACAACCACAACAACAACAACCACAACAACCACCACAACACAAACAGCAGCGGAGCTAAGAACGCGCTGGATTGTGGAGCTAAAGGCGGCGGCGCTATTGTTGTCAGGCGGCAGCATGACGACACGCCGGCCGCCAAGAAACACAGAGGAGCCGAGAAGGTAGGATGCGTTTATTGTCTGGAGGCCAATCCTCCCAACAACACACACAGACACACAAACATCTGCAGCTGATTCTCCCGCACACTCACAGCATCTCAACACTTTTCACAGAAGAATGAAGGAAGAGCTCCTGTTAGATATTCAGAGCACAGGCAGGTGCAGGTGTGAGGCCACAAAGAGGCAGCACAGGGATGTTCAATGGATGGAGGGATGAGAGGTGGATGATGGAGGGATGAGAGGTGGATGATGGAGGGATGAGGCTGCCACATGATATTTATTTCCTATTGTTGTTGCCCAGCTGGTGTCATTGTTCCCAGTGAATGTGTCTCACTGTGTCGGCTGCTATTTACCATGCTGATGTACAGACAGCACATTTTTTGTCTTTTCTTCTTTAGGAGGGGAGATGAAGA